ATAGTCACTATGTAGTTACTATTTTTAAATTACTAATAAAGATACGAGCAAGGCCTCACCTTAATACCAAAAAAAAATATATAGAAAAGCTGATAAAAAGAAAAAATAAAAAGTTGTCGAGTTACCCGAAAATAGCGAAAGTGAAGGATCAAACAGTGACGATGAATGGGAAACTGAAGAAGAATATGAAGAAGAACAATTAATAAATCAAACATATTTATATCAAGAAATTTATGACAATCTCTTATCTAAGTATTACTTTGAAAATCAAATGATTAATGAAGAAGAGAATAAAAATTTCAATATAGGAGAAATAAACAAAGAGCAAAAACGTCTTTTAGAAAAATTACTAAAAAAATATAAAGATGTTTTTGTATGGGATTCGACACAGTTGGGGAAGATGATGGTGGTTCAGCATGAAATTTATACCAAAATAGTCCACCTATAAGGCAACACTTCTATCCTACATCTAGGGTAGAGCATGAATTTATCCACCAAGAAATTTAGAGAATAAAGGACGAAAATTTGATTAAACAATCTGGTAGTTCTTGGACTCGCCAGTAGTCCTAGTGAAGAAAAAGAATGGCAAATTGCAGTTTTGTGTTGACTATTGTAAGCTCAATAAGATAACTAAACATGATAGCTATACTTTACCCCGCATAAATGAATTATTAGATGCATTAAAACAATCCTCATATTATACTACACTTGATTTAGCGAGTAGATTTTGGCAGGTAGAAATGCACCCACATGATCGCGATAAAATGGCATTTATAACAAAATTCAGGTTATACGAATTTAATATTATGCCCTTTGGGTTAAGAAATGCCCCGGCAATGTTTCAATGCTTAATGGATAAGGTTCTTCACAACATCCTGTGAAAATATGCGTTAGTATATATTGATGATGTCAATATTTATTCATCAACGTTTGAGGATCACTTGGCTCACGTCGAAGATGTTCTATTGAGACTAAGGATGGCCAATTTAAATTAAATCTGGAAAAATGTTATTTTGGTCAAGACAAGATAACATTTCTTGGTTATGAAGTAAGCTGTGAAGGAATTACCGCCAGCCCTCAAAAATCGAAGCCGTTAATAATTTTCCAATACCTAAAAATGTTAAAGCTCTTCGAAGTTTCTTAGGATTAGCAGGATTTTACAGAAAGCATATTAAAGATTTCGCTAAAATAACCACCCCTTTATTTAAATTACTAAAAACTAAGGAAAAATTCAATTGGAGGGTCGACCAATAATGCGCATTCGATACCCTAAAGAAGTCTTTGATGACGGCACCAATTCTTGCACATCCAAATGATGATGAAGAGTATATATTATATACTGATGCCTCTCATTTAGCTATGGGCGCAATATTATCTCAAAAAGGTGACGATGATAAAGAACACGTGATCAAATATGCCAGTAGAATGACAAGCCCTGCTGAGAAAAATTATACGATTACTGAGTTAGAATGTGCAGTAATTGTTTGGGTTGTTAAGAAATTCTACCTATACTTACATAGCCCGAAATTCACGATTGTAACAGATCATTCTGCTTTAACCTATCTAAAAAGTATGAAAAATCTGACAAACAGAATGGCCCGTTACATTATGACTCTACAAGGGTATAACTTTGATATTAGGCACCAGCCCGGCAAACAACTATCGCATGTTGACGGCTTATCTAAAGTCGAATTAATTGAATCGTAATTAATATACATTCAAAAAAAAAAAAAAAAAAAAAAAAAGAGAAAGAAGAAATTCTTAGCTCCAAATCTGTTAATCCACTCTTATGGTCACGTGATTTTGGCGGATAGTTATTTCTTCTCTATCTTTTAATTTCTTCATTATTTGTTGTAGATTCGGTTGAACTGAATCTAAACGTTCTTTTAGAGACTTTGAATCTTGCATGAGTTCGTTTTATTAAGGACTTAAAATGAGTTTTGGGGACCGAGAGGTGGGACATCACAAGGTTCTTTTTATATTCGTTCGTGATTACCTGCTTCTTTATAACTTGCTTATTATAAAATTTTAATAAATTTCTATGTATAGATTTACGCAGGACTTTATCTTCCATTGTTCTTAACTTATAAGATCCATTTCCATGTACGGTATGAATGTAGTACGGTTCTGTCCATTTTTCTTCTAATTTTCTACTTTGATGCGTATCCAGTTTAGCCTTATATAGAAGGACTTTGTCACCAATTTTATAACTTTGTAATCGATAGTGATTATCGTGATTATATTTTTGTTTAGCTTGTGTTCGTCTAATCCTTTGATGGGCTTCAACATGTGCTTCATTCAATTTATTGATTATTTCTAGAGTTCAGTTTATAAGTAGTTGAGGTACTTGACTATCCTCTATAGGTTCTGAAGGATAGATTGAAATAAATAATTCAATGGGTAATGTAGCTTCTTGCCCATATGTTAAATAAAATGGCTCCTGCCGTATCACATTATGTTTGTTTGTTCTATATGCGAATAATGCTCTTGGGACATATCTATCCTATTCACCATTATATTAAGATATACATTTCGCTAATGTCTCACAAAGTGTTCGATTATATCTTTCTACTAATCCGTTAGCTTGCGGATGATATGGGGATGACGTAATATGTTTGATTCCCAATTTTTGACATATAGCCATTATTAAAGTATTGTCAAAATGTGATCCATGATCTGATAT